TTGTCGCAAAAATTTATTCCCAGACTAACATTTGTGTTATTATTATTCATCACTTTACTACGGAAGCCCGGTTCCACCACGGCATAAAAAAATTTAAAATGTAATTGTGACTTTTTATCTCACAATTCTGAGTTTATAACATGCAATTGTGAGTTTATATCATGCAGCTTTGACTTTATAACTCACAAATGTTTATATCTCATGATTCTACATTTATAACAGGCAATTGTGAGTTTATATCTCACAGTTCTGAGAAAAAGTCAGAATTGCGACATGCAAACTCGCAATTGCAAAAAAAAAAAAAGTCAGAACTGTGAGATAAAAAGTCGCAGTTAACTAAAAATTACTTTTTTATTCAGTGGTGGAAAAAAGATTTGATATGTTACTAATGTTACAACATATGAAAAATAGTCAGATGAAGAATGAGCAAATGTATCCAAATGTATGAATGTATCTATTATAGTATTTATTCATATATATTTTTTATATTTATATTCTTCATTTTCATTTTAATTACATTTTTAGTAATTTTGCTATGTGCTTATATATATATATATACTGTGTGTGTGTGTGTGTGTGTGTTTTTTTTTTTTATATATATTTATTTATTTCTAGTTAGCTTTAACTTTTCTTTTTTTTTTCAGTTTTAGTAATTCTGTACTTAAACTTTTTTTTTTTTGGTTAGATGCCAAGGCAACATTTCAAATTATTGATAATTACCAAAATGATTTTTAAAAGCTTTACTTTAGTTAACAATAACGGCACTAGTATGTGTTAGACACGTCAAACCTGTGTTCAGTATCTCAAATCTAACTTTATTGCTTTTAAGTGAGTGTATTTCTGCTTGGTTGCAGATTTATGTGTTTGGAGGCAAAAATGAAGAACAAGATTTTAATGACTTGAAAATAATGAAGTTAATAAACCCCTCAGAGAGACAGCCAGGTAAGTAACGCTCCTGTCTGACTCCTACTGTCAATACCAGTCATCTGTATTCATTTCATCTGAGTCTGATCCATGATTGTCGTACAGTGATGAAGGAGATTTTGTCTGAGTTTGGACTGCAGGGTGTCAGTAATAGGTGGGTGTGTTTCTCTGACTAAAACACGGCTTTCGTTACCAGTTTCACATGAAAGTAACGTTCTGTTATTCAAATCATTTCCGCTTGATCAGCTTCGCCCCGACAAAGATTCCCAACGTGAAATACGATCTGAGTCAGTCTCCAGTGACCGTGAAGAGCTACAGGAGTGAAAACATTCAGGTGACTGACGTCACACACCTCCATTACAAACGGCACACACACTCCAGTGCACTACATTGATCACAAGTGACAGTAAAGACATTTATCATGTTACAAATGAAACTTCAATTCATTAAATAATCCTGAAAAACAAAATGCGTCACGGTTTCCACAAAAATATTGTGCAGCACAACTGTTTTCAACATTGATAATAATCAGAAATGTTTCTTGAGCTGAAATTACTGACTGATTACAGATTACATGTTGAAAATTGTAGTTAGTAATCTAGGTTACTCATTTTAGGTCATGCATTCTGAGTACTTGTTTTAAACTTACCGTTAAATGTACCGCATTGTTGTAAAAAAAAAAGCAGAAAGAAAATATAATCCATTTTTTTGATATCAACATCATTAAATGCATTACATTACTCCAGGGTTTCCCAAACTGGGTGTTAGTGAAAGAATTGCAGTGGGTTTGATTGAGTTGATAAAAAGCTAATAATTAATTCAGGTTTGGCTGAAAAAAGGGGGATCCCTGCATTACATGAGCAAACATTAATAAGCATGAAAACAGCAATGACATGATTGCACGCCCAACGTCTTCAAAGCTACGCAGTAATGAACATTTTAAAGAGAAAAAAGAAGAATTAGAATATTTTGCTGCCATTGTGTGAATAATATGTAATCCATAAAAATAACTGTAATCTGATTATGAGCATTTTAGAATTATTTTATTTTAATTATGAGTACTTAATTTTTGGAATCTGATTACGTAATCCATATCACATGTCATCTGGAGTAATTATGCTGAAAATTAAGCTTTGATCACAGGAATAAATTACAGTTTAACAGATATTCACATAGAAAACAGCTATTTTTAATTATAATAATATTTCAGAATTTTACTGTATTTTTGATCAAATAAATTCAGCCTTGGTGAGCAGAAGAGACTTCTTTCGAAAACATTTTTTAAAAATCATACCGACCCTAAACTTTGAACAGTGGAGATTTTAGCCTTAAAGATAAATCTGTATATGTAAGGCAATATATGATTTTGTAACCAATGCATCAAACTCATGTCGCTTTCATCCAGGCGAGCGTTCATAGAGATTTCAGTGCCGTTCGTGACGAGGCCATGAACATGATCCACAAAGCTTTTGCCATGTTAGATGAGGAATTCCAAAAAGTAGACAGGTAGAGGTTATGCCTTATTGTTTATTTCACGTTAACTGTCTAAAAAGACATCTTATAAAGCAAAACTGAATCAGCTCTCATCTGAAACAGAGAAAAGGAAGCACTTGCGCGGGACACAGAGGCTCTACAGAATGAGCGCGACGCTCAGAACCAGCATCTGCTGAGACAGAAACAGGTGCTGCTGGTCAAACTCATGTCATTCGATTGATTTTCTTGGATGTGTTTGCTGTTGTTCCTCTCAATGACTGAAGGAAGCTTGCGGTTGTGATTGGACAGGAACTTCAGGATATGCTGGAAAGACACAGGACTCAGAACGAGGCCTGGCTGCGTGCGCGAGCAGACGAGAATGACAGGGAGAGGAAGGAGCTGTGTAAACTAAGGGTGTGTGACATTCACTTCAGACAAACTGCTGTCAGATGGAGACACCAGCTTGTTTTGAGCAGTTTAATCTTTGAATAACTGTTTTCATACTCTAGCATTCACTGTCAGATTGTTGTCTGTAAGTAATTAGTGACTGAATGTTTTTGTTGTTGTTGCATGAACTATTCCTTTAAATAAAATCACATATATAAAATGACATTTGCATACAATTATAATATTTATTAATATTTTGAGGTTTTATTTTTATATTTTTAGTTTTCATTTTAATTTTAGTTAAAGTTTTTAGTTAGTCATTTTTAGTTTTTTTTTTTTTATCTGTAATAATATAGATTTTTTAAATATTTTTAATTTTCATAATATAGGGCAATTTTATGAAACATACATTTTCTGTATATAATAATATATATTAATATATATAATTTCATATATATATTTTTTTTTTTAGAAATACACTTTTTATCTGACATCTTAATAATCTAAAGAAAGGCCTTTCTGCATGAGCTTTTCACACTGAACTCATGTTTAAAACTCTGGCAAACGTCTCATTTTGTGCGTGGAGTGAATGATGGCTGTTTAACATTTCAACATGCAGGTCCTTATTTATTGTTTGGGTGTGAATCTTCCAGGAGGAGGTGCTCCAGGAGCAGGAGAGCCTGAAAGAGGAGCAATGCAATATCCAAAAACGCAGTGAGCAGCTCCTGTCCATTATGCAGCAGTTCAAAGGCATGTGAAGACACTGTCTCCATGGCAACCGCAGAGGGAGACAGTGTTATTATTGATGCCACTCCCTTACTGAGAGATATTTGGGTTTGTCTGTCTGATGATGATTTGGTTATTCCACCGTGTGTGTGTGTGTGTGTGTGTGTTAATGAACGTCACAATGCATTAGATGACCTCATTGCCAGAGATACCTGTAGAGCACAGGATGATTTGTGACGCATGTGAAAAGATTTTCTGAAACATGATGAAGTAAACCGAGGTTTACCACCAAAGACCCATGTCGTTTATTTTCATGTTTCTCCACAAGCTTGTGTTTTATATCAGTTGAGAGAAACTTGAGGCCCTCGGGTCACTAAATTGAACCTTGACCTGATATCAGTTATGAAAAAATTGTAGTACAGGATTTATAACATAATAACATTAAACTTATTTTGCCTTTGTACAATTGCATTTAATCATTTAGCAGATGCTTTTATTTAAAGAAACTTACAAAACAGGTAAATTTAATTACAGAAAAAAATATATTTAAAATAATTAAAATCTGTAATGAATATTCATTACAAAAAATTTATATATATATATATATACACACACACAAACATTTACAGTCAGTCCCAAATATATATAATTTACATTTGTATTTTTTAATATTTATTTTAATATTTTTAATTATTCTAGAAATACAGTTTTCTGACCTTACAGAGTGAAACATATATAAATATAAAACACAAATATAAAATAAATATATAATATCAATATGCCATTATACAGTGAATCCAATATATATATATATACAATTTTATGAAAATTTATTGCATAATGAATATATAATATGCAACCCTTATATAGTCAATCCCAAATATAAATAATTAAATTGTTTATTGTTATTATTATTATTGTGCAAATACACTATCTGATGTGGTCGTCTTCATATTCTTATTTCATGCTTTTTAAGATCTCTTACAAAAGCAAAAAATAAGAAAGCCAAAATCAGACATCCCTCTGTATTTAGCTGTATTTAGCTTTATGAAAATTTCTATAAAATCAACAAAAGTAAATCTTAATAATAAATCTTAAAATCTTCATAAACATCTTGATACGTGATATTTCAGAATAGCGCACTGTCCATAATATTTACCTACTTCCAGTGAATTTTTCATCTTATTTAAATGCTATATAATATCATATATTCATGCTATATACAACAGACTGCATAGGCTATTAGGGAATTCATAAACTCATTCTAGCCCATCAAATTACAGATTTTATTGTCTATTGTCACTGGGTTTTTGAAGGGGACAGTCATGTCTCCCAACTCGTGTCGCAGTGCTTGCGCATGCGCACACATCCTCGCCCAGCCGTGCCGAAAACAGCCGAAGAAAGCCGATGGGAAACGGTCGGCGGCGCACTATTTGGCAGGAAGGCTTCGCGTACAGCGCCAGCACAGTCCGGCAGTGGAGCACTATATGGCAGCGGGGAGGGGAGGGCGAGAGCTCGGCCGCATTCGAGGCCGCCTGCGCTCATCAAACGCTGCTCATTGAACACACACAGTGAGGCAGAGCTGGAGTGGAAATATTTTTTATGCCGCAATATGCGTGAATTTCTAAAATAAACCCGGGGTAAGCGAGCATCCATGCCATAAATGCCACATTTATGTATTGCACTTGAATAAAAAAGCGAAATGCGACAAGATTGAGCTCAGAGCTGCAGTGGAGGGAGTGAAGGGGGTTTTGGGGCGAGCTGTGGGGACGCTTGATCCAGACGTTTCTGTTGAAAATGTGTTTCTTGTGCTTCCTTTGTTTCTGCTGCGGGATTGTAAATAAGAGTTTGAGCCAAAATGGCGGCCGGAGCCGTTGAGCTGCGTCGAGCTATGAGCTATTGCGCTGCGTTTAGCCTCACGCTTTTATCATTTAACGCTCTTTTATGCCTTTATCTCCCTCTTGGATGATTTGTATGCAGTCGTAGCATTTACAATATGACACCTGGTTGCGTTGGTGGTGATTATGTAGCCTTTAATGAAGAGAGCTAGCGAGATGGAGTCAGTTAGCCAGACAGATTTGAATGTTTCTAATGACAAATTGCGATTTTGTGTTCACAAAACGTGCACTTATTGCTCTTTTCTGCCTTATTTTGATCGTTAAACGGCTAAATACGGTCTTTCTGCAATGCAATGCTTTCTTTAGTCCTCCATATAGCTGGTATCTCTCTGTAATGCCCATTTTTTCTTCAAAAAGGATGCTTTTGTACACATGCAAGCTGTTCATGTGTGTATATTTTGTCGTTTTCACTGTAACTAGACAACTTGCAGTGCTGCTTGTCATCTCGCCTGTTAATGGCATCCCTGAAACCCAATCTGGCCAACTGATCTCACTGCATTGTTGAGGGTTCTGGCCAATTTGAAATGTAAGGTCTTGAATTCATTAGTCTCATCTGATGCTCAGTGATCAGGTTGCATTGAGAAAGTCTGCTGAATTTCCGCGAGGAACAACAACATGAATCATTCTGGGGGTTTTGTTTGGAAGGGGCCGGCGGTTCATTTGTATTTCAAGACAGTCTGCTGAAGAGTTTTGTAGGGCACCTCTGGAGGATTAATTGATCAATTAGGCTTGTAAAGGAGAGATTACAGCAGAGAAACAGCCACTGCAGTGGGTTTCATTTAAGCCTTTCTTTAGCTTCTGAATTGCACTCTTTTTGTGGACCAACCACTCCAAACAAAGCGAAATGTGATCATATCTATGCAAACATATAATGTTTGTGTATGCATATGTAATTTTGTCTTACTGGTCACTTTACATAACCATGTTGCTCTAAAACTACCGTTTTCCTTTTGTATCCTTTCCTTGGTTTCACTTGGTTATGAATACTGTTCAATAACACCATTTTCTGCATCATTGAGCTGTAAATTCCCTCGCTTTAATTGCGTTCAACATTGTCAGACACTGTCATTACAGCAGCCACTGGCTAACATTTGATACAGCTCAGTACTTTTGCCTCTACATCCAAAATATATTAGATTCTCATACGCTGGAAAATGCATACACAGAATTGCTCCATCATCCATGTGCAGGTTTTAATGCAACACCATTGAGTTCAGTTATAGCAATGATTTTGACAGCGTTGGCGATCCATTGTCATGAGTGTAGGTTTATGTAAAGTATAGTTAACTTCAGCCACAGTATATTAGCCAGGGGAAAGTCTAGGCCAGACCTGGTTCTAGTTTCATCCCAGAAAATAAGAAATTATACTTGCTTATAGAAAATATAGATTTTTTGCAATGGTTTTCAGTGCGGTTAAACACAAATTCCCCCTAGATTTTAATGTGAAAACAAAGAACATATAGAGTATTTGTGCATTACGATGGCATTTGTGTTGCATTTAATTGATGTTGCATTGCAGTAAATCAGTGTAATTCAGCAAAAATACTGTCATTTAGAGCAAGAACCACCATTGAAAATAACAAAAATATACTTGTGTGGATACATTTGGAAGCAATTTTATCTTAATTCTCTTTATGCAAAATTCTAGAATTCTTCTATTTTGAGGTGAAATGTGTCTTTGATGTTGTTTTTGTGAGATTCACCTAATTTTATGAAAAAGACCAGCGGAAAATGAAATGAGAGTTAGTTTGAAAGGTGCATGAGGGATATGTTATATATATTGAGGACAAATACTTGGGTCAAGTGATTAAAACTTTGGCATCATCTCGCCATCTTTATCTAAAAGTAACATGGCAGGATGCCTTAAAAAAGGAGGACTGACCTTGAGTTAATGTTCCTGTCTTGTTCGTTATTTTCGTGGCAGTTACAGACTGTAAAATTGAAAATGGAAGCGGTGTTATTTGAGTCCAGCTGTGTTGGAAAATAGCAATAAATGCATGTTCTGGTGTATTTTTATGCATTTTACACATTTTAAAAAGATACTGCAGTTGGATTGCACTAGGTCATGTTCATGTGCAATGGACTGTTTTATAAAACATGTTACGGTTTTGATTCAGTTGGACGGTCTGGTAGAATAAATGAGTTTGCCGGCTGACGTGGTGTAAGGAAGCCCCGAGCTCCCTGCGCTTGTAGCGTACTCCTGTTGTGTTGTATAACAGCGTCTGCTTGGCTTCCTGAATAATGCAAGTCTCATGTCATGGCTCATCTGCTCTGCTTTCTTTGGTGTTTTGGGATGTCAGATGGGATGTGCATCTTTTATTGAATGCCGATTTGCAAAGCATAAACCTTCACATGGGGTTGACATTTCATGTCATTAATCACATTTGAGTCTGTTTACCATGTTTTTTACATTTCAGGATTCAACTTTTGTAGTTTTAAGTTGTCGTCTGAAATATATTTCACTTAAAGGAGTAGTTCATCCAAAAATGAACATTCGGTCATTGTTTACTCGCCTTCATGTCGTTCCAAACCTGAATTACTTTCTTTGTTCTGTGGATCATAAAAGAAGATATTTTGAAAAATGTTGGCAACCATTATACCTTATATTTGAATGAATCTGAACATTGCATAAAGCTAGGTTCAAAATTCTTGTTTGATTTTGTTGACTCATTAGAGTTTTTACGGAGGGGATTTTAGATTTCTCTTTTCATCACTCCATAAATCAGAAAATACTGTAAACAGCCAGATACGTATACAATTTCACAATGTGTTTAGGAATAAAATGTTGTATAAATCAGTGTGAATGATATATGTGACCCTGGAGCTAGGCCTGTCACGATAACAACTTTTTGTTGTGCGATATATTGCCCCAGAAATAATTGCGATAAGCGATATTATTGTCATTTTAAAGACCATTTTATGCCACTGAATATATAATCATAATGTAACAGCATAATAATGCAAGAAGGCCTACACACTTCCAAATGACAACAAACTTTTAATTTTAAGAATATTTAG